ATATACATATACAGTATATACATATAAAGTATATACATGTACAGTATATACATATACAGCATATACATATACAGTACATACATATACAGTATATACATATACAGTATATACATATACAGTATATACACATACAGTATGTACATATACAGTATGTACATATACAGCATATACATATACATATACATACCATGAGCATCCTCAGTAGAGGAACCCAGTTGCCCGATTTTTTCCCACAGCTCCTCAATACATAGAATGCGGCATGTAGTTGCCGTAAGGAGATACAGGCTTCGATGATGGGGCTTGGGACTGTTATGGGCTCCGGCATCACTGGCCATCGCAAGCACAGCAGGTCCCCAACAAGGGACCCAGTAATCCGAGCACTCACATCAAGTATAGAGCCAGCCGCACTCGGGTGAGAAGCTTACTGTAAGGTTGAGGAGATTAGGGTTTTGGGTGAAAAATTCCTTTTGAGGCATGAAGCATCAGAAGTTAATACTGCCGACAGGAACGACCATGGCGACTCATGCAGAAAGGCTGCAAGAACTGTTCATCGCATGGCTGACCCTCGCCAGCAAGAGCTTAGAACCCCACACTTGAGCAATCTTGAAGTGGACAGTTTAATGATGAAGACAAACGCTTGACTCTGCAACTGCTGTTCAGCGGCAAGGACAGAGAGACCGTCACGCCGCACAAGGTGCCCACATCACCTCAAACCATCGGAACCACAAGAACAGCACATCTTAACCTACAGTTCGACCCTATATAAATTACAACACAATACAATGCTATACTGATACTATACCGTACTACGATATACTCTAATCTGAGAAGATACGAGGTAGGTTCCCAGGTTAAAAACTGAGCCACGGGCAAAAACATGTCGTGTACATACGCATTTAATATCGCATAATTTTGAGCCGGAGCCATTCGTTTAAGGGTTTAGGGTTTAGAGGTTTCGACTCACACACTCGCACAAAGCTGGCATGGCTGACGAAGGTCTGTGCTTGCTACCTCGTGGCCCTGACCAATGACACGTCATGGATACTGGGTGAAGGACAAACTCTGAAAGCCGAAACCTTGCGTCAACATCCTAAGCCCTAAACCCTAAACCCATGTTGAAACCTAAACAACTTCTGATAAAAAAAACCGACAGGGGCCAAGATGCGGCCCGAGACCATGGACCCCGCCGCCTTCCGAACTGGCAGCTCCTGGCAAGGGCTTCAGGGTTTATAGGGTTTAGGGTTTAGGGGTTTAGGGTTTAGGGGTTTAGGGCCTCAATGGCTTTAGACGAGGATTGAAGCAAGATATCTGGTCTGAAAGGTGGTGGAGTTTAGGGCTTTGGGCAGTTAGGGTGTCTCGAAGAAATATAGTAGAGTTCGTTGAAAACTGCTGGGAGGGAAGTCTCGACAAGATCTATATCGTGAAACGCTGGTTACCCGGGACCACACAGCTCGAGATCTTGGGGCAACGCTATTGCATCACTCGATAACCTACTAGCTGGAACCACACAGCCGGATGGACTTAACCATTCTGCGTATGACAGGTCTCAGAGAAGAAGTGGTATGCAATGCGTGCCCATGCCTGATTGATTGGATATGAGTGAGCATACAGTAGGGTGGGGTGAGTCTGTTGTGCTGCATTAGCGCAAATGCATATACCGTGTTCATCTGCCTTCATGATTACTAGAAGATGCAACCGCCGGCTAAACTCTGGAACATGTTTCAGTATTTCTCAAGAACGGCTCTAGACTTCCGCTTGCATGTAAGCTATGTTTACTGCAATAAACAAGGAACCCTCAGAGGTGCGCCTTTGTTCGTACCAGTTCGTTGTGGCAGAATGAACGACCTGGATTCATCACAACAATAATATTGCTGCTCCTCGGCCGCAGCGATGGCCAAAGCCTGTGCGTGGGACGGGGTGGAAGCTGCTGTTGTGCAGTTGCACAGCTGCTGACTCATCTGTCAGTTATTTCATCTTCGCATATTCGTTCCTGTGACTGCTAGCATAGCAAATCCGTCGACCATGTACCGCTAGCTAGATGAATGGATGGCAGCCTGGTGCAGTCGGAGCTTGTGCAGCGTGCTCGCACACAACTCAACGCAAATCTACCACAGAGCCTCAGGATCAAGACCAGCTTTTGAAACGAGCGGGAATGGGTTTCAAACTCGCTGTCGGCCTCGTGGACTTGGCACACAGTGACACAGTAATATGGACGCACGAAAACCTATTCTGCAGGCTGCATTGGCAAAACAAGCATATGTACATGTCCCAGTTTGCAGATGGCCTTCATGCAAAAAGAACCACATGATGAGTGGCTTCAGGACAACAGGTTAGTAAAGCCTGGCAAGCCTCGATCTTTGACCGCCCATGTCTGTGATGGCCTCCAGTTTTCCGTGCTTTGCCGTGTCGCTTGGAGTTATATCCCCAGAGGGTCCCACTTGGTTAGTAACAATTAGTAGGTATTTGGCACCAAAATACTTTTAGGAATGGCCCGGAGCACGGAGCCGAAGAACAAAGAACAAAAACGAACCCATGAGCCCTGAAGCCGTGGAAAAGAACGAAAGAACTCTGAACAACCTCACCCTTTGTGACCCTGGTGATTGCCCCAAAGTGCTCTCTGTCTCTCTCCAGCTCTCCCCATCTCTCTGAAGAAGCCCTGGCCCTATCCTACAGCAACAAAATCGACACTCCTCCAGAACCCAGGCAGGTCTTTCGATGGTTGGCCTCGATGCCACGCCGCAACTGCGGGTGGCCATTTAGCGCGTCCTTGGCTGGGGCACAAGGGGTTCCTAAGCCCTGAACCCTCATCTCTAAACGCTTTAGCGCGTTTAGAGCGCCTAGGGCTGAGAATTTTGGGCGTACTCCTTAGGTATTTACTTTATGTTGAGGGTGTTGTCCGTCTACTTCTGCTGGGTTTCCATCGACGGAGCCGGAATCAAAGAAAGGATTTCGTTTTGCCCACAGACAAGCGGAAATATGACATTTAAACGTGCAATGCTCCGTAGCAAGACCGCGCGAAAGCCCTAAACCCTAAACCGCTAGTTTGCAGGCTTTTTCAAGTCTACGGCTCGAGGCAAGCCTTCTAGCTGAGGTGCCCGGGCCTCTGAGGCCCTACCTGGACCCTGTAATTCCTACCTCTCCTCAATTGGGGTTCAGACTTCTAATTACCTTATAACTTATAATGCATCCTCAATCAGGTAGGTTAGTGGAGAGTTAGAGTAAGCACTGTCGCCGATTTTCCGCAGTTCCAAGCAGGCGACCAGAGCCAAGTACTGCTGGACGCCCTGAAGCGATGGGAGCGGAGATTAATCTCCCCAAATGGTAACTGCATGCCGCAGAAGGCTGATCAACCGGAGCAGTTCGGTTCAGCAAGGGTTTGGCACGTTGTATGTATGTTCTAAGCATATACATACACAAGTCATATCTGGGTATCTGCCTATTGACATATTTCTACATGTAGCGACGGTGACATATAGATCATTGCAGATTTCATACTTGTTCAAAATGCTCCTGTGCCACGACAACGGCAACAGGACGGCGACCGAGGGCGACCTCAACAGCGACATATTCAATATATCAACGTATTAGAGAAGGAGTTCTACTCTAAATGCAAACAAAAAACCAACCAGTCCATCGGACGCCGACGGGGAGAACTTGCACGGTAATGTGCGCTCGTAGCAGCCTCGAAGGACTTTAAGTTTTCAGCCGAGGACCGCCACTCAGCGCGACCGTGTTTAGGGTTTAGGTTGTGCGTGCTTAGTTGCCGGACCATTTCCAAATCAGCCAGTTGTTGCATCCAATCTGAAACGACGGCCGGAGCTCATCAAGGGCAAGGTATCCGACAGCTTTCAGCATGCAGGCGCAGAAGCTGATGCACCCGACAGTGAACACTAGGGCGACGGTGATCTTCTCTGACTTCTTGATGGGGTCTTCCAATCCACACTCAATATTGTCTGCCGCTCGACCATGGAGGAATTTCCAATAGAGGACTGCGGGGTAGATCTGTGTCACCCAAGGAATAGTTAGAGCAGTGACGAAGTCCACGAGTGTGTCGATGCTGGGAGCGAAGGTGCTCAGGAGGAGTGCCACAAAGAAGGTGGGCAAGGTGTAGCCCAAGTATCTCAGGATATCTGGCATTGTCCAGGTGTCCTTGAAGTTCGGAGCCCAAGTCTCTTGGCAGAACCGAGCGAGTGGAACTGAGTCCAGCATGTAACACACGAAGTTGCCGCCCAGCTGGAAGGCGTTGAAGAGCGTATTGATCACATTCCCTGGGACGAAAGCACCTACACCCGCGGTGATTGCGATGACTTCACCGACGTTGTAACCCCAGCGGACCACCACGATACTGCCAACGATCCTTAAGATAATCGGGACACACAGGTTGCAAACGTGCGGCACTTCACCCACTACATGTGACTCGATGCATCCAGGCAGCACGAAGAGTACCACGTTGAGGCCGCCGGCCAGCAGCAGAGACTTTTTGAAGTCCACCGGGTTTGGCATGCAAGTGCTGAGTTCGACGGTGAGGAAAGCGGGAATGAAGGCCCAAGCATTGATAGTAAAGCCACTGGCAAGCCGTATGAGCCGCAAGCCTGGATCAGGCTCTGGGTTACCAAACCATTGTGCCGGGATTCTGGGCGTGTGCTCATACTGGAAGGCACCCACCACCATGGTAACGACCATGCCGATGGAGCAAAGAAAAGCAATCGTGGTAAAGACATTAACGTTGTCGAAGCTCCGGACCTGCGTAGACAGCAAGCAGATGCCCGCAACGACCCAAACGTAGTAATCAATGCAGTCGCCCAGAGGACCAAGAGTGCCGATGGAGTACAAGGATTGGGCGACGAATGAAAGAGCACACGGCATGAAAAGACAGAAGTTCCCGAGCTGAATCACATTGCCCCAAATCTGTGTCCACCTGCCAATAACTTCCTTGCCAAGATCTCCCAAAGTCTCGCCTAGGCATGGGTCAGTACGAAATCCCCTTCCTGGATGTCATTTAGGTTTCTCGTATCAGAGCCGGGAACTCAACAGAGTAATTATGTCAAATAACAGCCAAGCTGCAGTGCGGGTACAGCAGCTTCATCTCCAGGAGCATGTTAGCTCCAGCAACCGAGGCCCATGTAAGGATGATGCACAGAATCATGCCGCCGGCGTAGCCGGCATTCGCAATGGCAAAGGGCACGGCCATCACTGCAGAGGGCGCTGCAAACGTGAAGAGAATGATGCCGGCCGACTTCCATCCCACATGGTGGCCATGATCTGGCTGCACGAGAGGAGCCGTTCGTGCCTCGCTCTGGTCCATGGCTGCTAGACAGTCTGGCCGAGCTGCGGTCTAAAGAAACTCCACTCTGCGAAAGCCCTCGCCGACAGCATGGAGCAGTTCACAAAGCCAGACAGCATCCAACGAATGAAACGGTGAGGTTCATGGGTGGGGTTATGAGTAGCCTAACTACCATAGTAACCCATATTCAACGCAAATATAAGCCCCACAGCAACACACAGCAATTGCCAGCGGTGCCACGGAGTTCTCAGAAGTGACTGTCCCCAGCATGTTGGAGCTTCTCGTGCCTGCTAACTATTAATGATAATGTACACTCCAGAAACCAGGATTACACTTAGGGCTCTACTGATGACACAAAAAAGTATATGCGATATATGGGACAATCTTGCATGATGTCAAAGCAGCTTATGTAGAATGAAACATGAAAGTCACGTAACGGTTGTAGATTAAATGCAGCATGACCTGTCATGACTTGCCCAATGGAACATAACATATACTTAGTCAAGCAGAGCACCACACAAAAAATGATATACAACGTCTGCTATAGACTGCACGAAAACTTTCATGTACCAGTTCGGCATCAGAAAAATAATAAAACATATAGTATAAGCTTTCATATAACACCCCCAAAAACCAATGTACATGTGTGTGTATATATATATATACGTATGTATAGCATATCAGAGTATAGCGAAACATTTTGTGAATTGTGAAGCACAGTTTAACAACACACACACATGTTGTAGATATAAAAGGCAGAAAGCCATATATGTATAATGTATATAACGATGTACAATATGTATATAGAACATGGCATAACACAACAAATCGTCTACTGGAACATAACATCACACCATACACATTGTAGCATAGTGATGCATGATGTTCAGTGAATAGTAGGTAGCAACTTGAAAGCAACATATAGCATAATGCAACATACCGTGCTGTAGCAAACTAAAACAGTTTTATGCTACATAATGCACTTTGCTAATATAGCGCATATGTCGCATGCAATCACAAGTCTGAACAGGGAAAGGAATCACGCACGATCAATCCATATATGGAACTTATACACAAACACACACACAGAGAAAAATGCATGTATATATATATATGTATGTATATACATATATATTACTATTATACACCAGATAGCATATACAGCAGCAACACTATGTAAACTGTTGGCGAGAAAATCAAGCATGTTTTAACCTAACATACTATGTTTCGACAAAACATAAAATGAAATGTGCTTGCTATGCTGCGATATGCAAAGCGGCAACGTAACGTGAGATGGCATGGTAATCTATATATTCTAAAACAACAACAACAACAATTGCAATTGGACGCGGTGCGAGCGGGCTCAGCACTTTGCCGGCATTTGCCGCACTGGCACTCTCTAGAACTATGCATCAGTGAAACCTTGCGTATCAAGACAGCTTGACGAAATACCGTTGAAGCAAAGAGAAAAGACCGATAGTAGTTACGGGGCCGCTCATTTCTGTACAGGCTATAGCTACGCTGAACTACGGCGAGTCAGAAGTACCTTCTGCACAGTTGCACAGTTGTAATGGAACAAAAGGCTGCTGCACAGGCTGCTGCACATTGCACTTGCTTGAGGCATGATGCAGTTTTTTCGATGCAGCGACGCAAGACTGGCATCCGTCGTGAGGAAGAGCTGCTCTCGGTGGCTAAAAAGGTTGGCCGAGCCACCGGAGGGTAACAACAACAACAACAACAGCAACAGCAACAGCAACAGCAACAGCAACAGCAGCAGCAACAGCAACAGCAACAGCAGCAACCGCAACAGCAGCAGCAGCAACAACAGATGTTAAGATGTATTGTAACGTAACATAATGGCACCTGACATGGCATAATGTACTATGATTAAGCCATTTCACATGCTACGAATTAGCACGGTATGGTACACTATAAAGCTGCTCGACCTAACAAAATAATGACCAGATGTGTAATGAAATGTGTAGCAGCAAGATGGCATGTATTGCAAACAAGTTTGCAAACAACCAAATGATACGACCTGCTATCACGTTACAGAATAAACCGATACAATATAGCATGACATGATATGAGGTATATGATACGATACTATTCTATCCTGTTACTCGACTCCAGCATGCTTTTCTCTACTGGAATGGGAAAATGTCATGTGATATGGTACAGTATGGTATAGTTTTACTAAAGGATAGTATATGAAAATTCAATGCTTGTAGCGATTCGCTTTAATCGTTCTGGTTTGACCAAAAATACTGGAGGTGAGCATGGCGATGATGATGACGATGATGATGATGATGACGATGATGATGATGATGATGCGCACAGTGATGCAGATGATGGCTGTGCCGCATTCTCCTAGTTTGTGTTGCCGGTGTCTGGCTTCCTGTCTTCTGCTTACTGGTCCAGCCTTGATATCGTCAGTTTCATTTCACCGGAAATGCCTGGTTCTTGCTTTTGCTCCTGCCCTGAGACAAGGCACTGCAAGTCGTGCCAGCCAGGCTGTTGTGTCAGCCACGAGTCGAAGCTCCATTGTCGGTAACCTGACAGGCTTGCACTGCTGCAGCATAGTGCTTTGGGGTTTCAGGGGTTTGAGTTGCTTTGGAGCTTGAGCTGGGGCTTGGCAACCTTGGTGAAAAGGTTTCAGGGTTGTAGAACCTTATATGGAGTTTGTGGTTCAAGGCCAGGACCTCTTTGGCTTTCAGGTTTGGCTCTCTGAGACATGATACATGACGGACTTCAAAAGTTTTGGGCTGAAAGATTTCTACGAAGACATATACATGCATCTACGCATGCATGCACATACATACATACATACATACATGCAGACAGACAGACAGACAGACAGACAGACAGACATACGTGTACAGGCGCATGCACAGCCATACCTTCCGCATTTCTTCACAAGTGCAGCACGTAAGAGGTAGCCTGCATCGAGGTAGGGATGGAGGGAGGGCGGTCTTGGGACAAGATCACCTGTCAGGACTTCGCTCAACGGGGTTTAGGATTTGAGGGGTAGATTACTCCCAAACATCTTTCACATCGAAGCCACAATTCCGCCGTCCCTGCCTCCGACTTGATATCGCGGCGAGTACCGCTACACAGTTCGTAGCGCCACCGTGCCGCCCCGGAGCGAAAGGCGTGTCCCGCAGCCTCCAGTAAGTGCTGGACTTCGAACGGCTTAGGTTTTTAGGGCTTCGTTTGTAATTACAGTAGATGCCACGACGGTGTCAAGCCCTTCTTGCGGACGAGAACCGATGTAGAATTTGCAGGACTTCTGTTCCGGAACTGTATACCCCCGGTCGCGACGCCAACAGTCTTGTAAGAACCGAAACCCAGACACCCTAAAGCTTACAGCGCAGGACTTCTTCGTTCGAATCCGAGAGTTTAGCTTCGGGGAACAGTGCGAAGTGGTCAATGGTACGAGGTTTTGTGAGTTGTCGTAGAATCTGGGGCTTCAAGGTCTTCGGGCATTTTAGGGTCTCGGCGCTCACTCCCTGACGAGGCGCTTAGTGCTTTTTAGGGTTTTAGGGTGCAGTCATAAATCAAAAGCTCGAGGTTCATGGTCCTAAACTAACGAAGCCAGCGTAAAGTGCCTAGTATCCCTACAGCGCGTGAGCAGTTGGATCAGTGTTTTGAGCAAAATTTGGAAGAGTGTGTTAGCTCGTGTCTGCCTTGTACCAGTGTCTGAAACAACTGGGCTCTCTTAGAGAGCCCAGCAGCCAAGGGGGTGTAGAACAACACACGGATGGTTACTTCCGACTTCCGGGCTCAAACCTCAACGAAGAATGTGCAGCCCGCACAATGGCATATCTTCAGAGAACCCAATGACAAAACCCTCCTTCAGCAATGATGTGGGAACGCACCTAAAGCTGGACCCGAAATACGAGGATTCTGTTAACATAAGGGCCCTCCCAAAGGGCCCCCCCTGCCAACAAAAAGAAAAGAAAGCTTGATTGTAAGAAACCCTCACATGGCCCGCCCTGTCTGCTCCAAGTAGAAGCTCGGAAGGTTTCTTGCGCGTCTCTACAAATATGGAAACCCTGCAGCCCCGCACAACCTAACCTATAAAATATATATATATATATATATGTCTGTGTATATATATAATATACTTAGGCAAACCCCAAACCCCAATGCTTCTTAAGCCCTGAACCCTGAAACCCCCAAAAAGATACCCAGGTAAACCCTGAAGGCCCTTTGAACCGAGGACTCAACCGGTAGAGGCTGTGAGCGGCCACAGCCAAGGAAACGTCATCGAGCCGCTCTTCGTGGATCAAGCCTTGTTGGGGCGTTTCGTACGTCGGGGTTACAGCAAATCCCACAAACTTGAAGCTAAGAAGTTCAGACGATTTAGGGCTAAGGGCTGGAGGCTTGATAGGGCTTTATGTGAGTTTACACACGGTACAAATAAATTTGTCACTGAAAATTGTTACCGAGTTCTAATATAGGTGTTTGGGTTGGGTTAAGGCCGACTGTCGAGGTTTCAGGGTTCGAAGGGAGGGGTCGAAACAGAGTTTTGTATTAGGACTTAGGATGTTTGTTTTCGTCAGCCCTTTCCTCAAGATTGGGTCCTAAGCAGAATCCTCTCCCACCGCAACCCTAACTAAAGCCTGGGTTGCTGCTTGCCTTTAGGGCAGGTTGGCTGAGCTGGACCTTCAGGAATGCGAGGATTCGTATACCAGGGGCCCTTCTGGAGCAAAAAGGACCTGACTATCTATAGGAAGCTCTTAGTTGAGGGCTCTGTTTGCGACGACTGCTTTGGTGAAGAGTAGCACAATATGCATAACTAAGCCCTATCCTGTTGAGCACTAAACCCAGCATCCTAGAGCCCACAACCCTACACTCGGAGAACCAAAAACGCCTGAAGCCGTAGCCCTGAATAACTTCTCCTGCACAGCAGGGCGAATTCCGTTGATGTGTCCGAGTAGCGGAAAGTCTCTTCAAGCAGCTTCGCCCATGCCTCGAAGATGCTTGTGAGTGATTCCGTTATCTCTGACTGATTAAGG